CACTTATAGAATATCAATGTGTTGGTTGCTCTTAATGGAGGACTCTGTAAATTAGTGCTAAGATGAAGTTATATCATTAAAATGCTCCCACCTTCTTCTTACTCTCCAACTGTCAGTATAGCATCACGCAGTATTTGACTAATTGTTATTGTTAATAATTATAATTGTCCTTATTATCATTTGCCGCTTGATTTTTCCGCTCATAATGGAATTCATTATGACTCATATCAAGGGTTGTTCATTATCTCAAGGATTCTGTGCATTCCATTCAACTCTGCGACCATCATATTGCCGTTTATTTATTATCCACTATTGAATATCGCAGTCATTTCTGATATCGTTTTTATAATTATCCATCTCTTTGCAGTGGTTATTCCTAAAACATGTAATTCTAGATAGACGTCAGTTATGTCAGGCAGAAAGAAGGCTCTCCTTAAAGTGATTATTCTCGGTGATTCGGGTGTCGGCAAGACTTCATTGATGAACCAGTATGTAAATCGTAGATTCAGCAATCAGTACAAGGTAGGCTAACGCTGTTATCTGATTTCTCTCTTATCCCTTTTAATTCTAATTGTTCTTCTTTTGTTGCAGTAGTTACTAAACATGATTGAAGTTTTACAAAAAATTATGGAAACTTTTTTTCCTTTCACTCTATTGTTTTTAGAACATTTCCCTATATATGGTTTTCTTTCTAGGCAACGATAGGTGCTGATTTCCTAACTAGAGATGTTCAAATTGATGATCGTACGGTAACATTGCAGGTACGTCTATTTTCTCTTGTTCGCCATGTCTTACGTGATTTTCAAACATTCCAATGTGTATTGGGCATTTATATACTAGTTCGTGATACATACTCTAAATATAAACGTGAGACGACTCAGTTACGATAATAAAGGTTCAAAAGTTGACGCGGACTAGCTGTAGGCCAGTTTCTTGATTAATAGTATGTTTAGCCTCTATACTGCATTTATAATCATATACTTTTTTATCTGTCTGTTCAGTAGAGTTGGAATTTAATGTAGTCGTTGTTGAAATAGGCG